AAAGTTGGGCAATCAAACGGCTCAAGATGGAAAATGGAAAAATTATTCCTACTTCCCTAGAAAACTTGGTGAATCAAACACAGCCTTATTGTTTTATTCGCATATTTTATTTAACTTATTATTTTTATGTCAATGACAAATCACTTCAAATATGATTTGAATAATTTAAGGAGTACAACATCGAAATTTATAACATAATAAGTGCAATCGTTAAAGTCAACAATTAATTTTAATCATATATTTTATAGGTCCCATAACTTTCAACCACATATTTTATCAACATTTATCAAAATTCACTAAAAATATAATTTTAATTCCTATCAAACATGGCTATATTTAGAGAGAGTAATGGAAATGCTTTTAATACTTAGAAAGCTATATCAAATTCACATGACAGATTAGACTAAAATGCTGACATGAATGACAAATCATATACCGTTCTAGAGTTAATTATTCAAATGGTCACTGAACGTATGTCTTTGTCTTCGATTGCAAACTAAAATTTAAGATGTCAATTTTTGACCACTAAACTTATCCAAATATTAGACGTTATTCACAGCATAACATCCATTTCAAACCTTTGACATAGTTAGAGACGTGGCTAACGGAGTACATGTGGCGCTTCGTCACGTTGTTAACAAATTGTCATATCTTCGATTGCTCACTAAATTTTAAAAAATGATTTCAATTGTTCACAGAACTTTGAAATATAAATTCGATTGCTTACTGAACTCTATGGTAGTCGAATTTCGGCCACGAAACTTATAAAAGTGACGTCGTTCATTAAAAAATGTGTGTCGCAGCACGGGTCGTGTAAAAGTAATAAAGTAAACAAACGAGTTTCGGTTTGTTGATCCCATGAAAAATATTACTCAATTACATAATAGTTGAATTTAATTTTAACATATTTTTGTATAATCTTAAGCTATTTTCATCATTTGAAAAATTCAAATTTATTGTGTATTTCGTTGTTAAAATTAAATTAAAATAAAATTAAAATTATGCAACAAAACAAAAAATAAATTTAATTAAACAGATATTGCAACGAAATAGACAATTAATTAAAATTAAGATTTATTTTTGTAATGAAACAAACAATAAATTTAATTTGATGGATTTTGCAACGAAACACAGAATAAATTTAATTAAATTGATTGCGTATTTTCAAATGATAAAAATAGATTGATTTTTTTAAAAAAATATGTTTAACTATTGTGTAATTGAGTAATAATTTTTCGTGAGATCGACAAACGGATTCGTTGTCCACTTTATTACTTTTACGCGACTCGTGAGCTTGCAGTACACAATTTTTAAAAGAACAAAATATCGACATCATTTTTATAGGTTTAGTGGCCAAAATTCGATCATTTTAAAGTTCAGTGAGCAATCGAAGACGTGGCAATTTGTAACGGCATGACGGGACATCATATTGGTATTATGTTAGCCAAGTCATTAATTCCTTTAAATGTTTGAAGTTGATGTTATGCCAATGAACGTCCAACGTTTAGATAAGTATAATGGCCAAAATTCGACATCTTAAATTTCAGTGAGCAATCAAAGATATGTACATAAATTCAATGACCATTGGGACAATTAACTCACAATTCTAATAAACTTTTTTCGAAGAAGGTTATAGAATCATTTGATGATTCATTACTTCTCAACATTGATACCCAATTCGTTTTACTATGACTCCTTGACCAAGCCAACTTATGGATGTCAAGTGGGGCAAGTCACTCATTGGCTCACTTCAACTAACAAGCCAACACGGTTTTGCTCCTTCTTGATGTGAGCTGTAGGATGAGCAAAACTAGGTTATTCTCAGGCTAGTCACTCATCTGCTCACTAATGCTTAGTCCCACGTAAAACCTTCCGCGAATCCAATATAAATTGGCCATTTCAACTCATCTAGTATACTTTTGTTGCTTCAGCAGTTATAGATGACAATGACTGTCTAATCACTTAATTAATTCAAGCACCAACAATAGTTGCCTGATATTCAAATTTTGAATTTTTTATTTTATTTTTCATCAATTTGTGCCTATAAAGTAGAGGGTTTGAGGATTTATGTTTTCTACACAGCTTTCAAATTTCTATAACTATCATACAAATTTTGTCACTCTCTTAACTCTAGTCTCTTTATTTTCTTGTGCATTTATGTAATTTACATAATGTCTAGCTCATCATTATTTTTATCTAATGAAAGTAGAGTTATAGTTTCTTGGAAATTTTTCGAAGATCCGATTAACAGACAATATTAAAAGGAGTTAATGCTATTCTTTCTAAACTATAAAGGTCTAATTTATTTGATATTTGATTCTATTTATTCTCTTTCATGTAATCTGTATGTTTATTTAGTAGCATTATGTCTTGATGATGATGATGATGATTTGACTCTTAAAAAGAATTTTTTTTCTTATTAAACACATTGCGTTAGATGAACTTCATAGTCACGTTGCACAAATTATTGCACATAATTAAAATGAGTATAATTTAACTCTTAAAAAACTAACATCTCTTGTACTCATTGCATGGTAAACAACAATATTTTATGGTATATCGTGTATGCTACAATTAGGGATGACAAAAAAATTCGATAAACTCGAAACTCGCTAGGCCCCACCCCATAAGTGGCGGGGATAACCCGCTTCATCGGGTAACAGGGTGGGGACGGGACGGGACGGGATGGGACGGGGCGGGAAATTTTGCTTCGGGACGGGTTCGTTGTAATGTTCATTATTTATGGCTAGTGATACAATCTATTGAACAATTAATGAATGGTCGCTTAGATAAAATATGGAAAGCAAAATGGGAAATATGGAAACGTAAAAGTCGGTTTCACCGGTATCTTCCTCATGTTCGAGAAAATATTATTGATAGCATTCGATTTTATTGGTTACACATAGATTTTCAACTATACAGTTAGGACGAATGATACGTCATTTTTTCATCAAATGGAAAATGAACTTTTTTTTAATGATAATGATTGGACTGTATGTACTTTATGTTGTCTGAAAACAAATTCAAATATATTTCCCATAGTTTCCAATGTAAGGTTTGTTACTGCGATTTGAAAATGGGCAGAAGAATTGCTTTGAAAATGTAAGGGTGCGTGTGATTGCAAATGTGAAAATTTGATGGAAAGAAAATATTTTACATGAAATTGATTTGTTTAGAAATTGTTTTATTGGGAATTGTAATTAATTATATTTGATTGATATAATTTTTCATAGAAAATGTTGAAAGTTTAGCGTCCGTTTGGCTTCATTTTTTATGAAAATTGTTCATTAAAGTGATAATGTTTTCTACCATTGGGTCTAGAATTTGTTCTAATTGCCCAAAAAAAAAATTTTGAAAAAAAGATAATCATACTGAATATCATTCGTTTGACTTTATTTTGTATGGAAATTGTCAATAAAAGTAATTTTTTTTCTTTACAATTGTGTTTAGAATTTTTTCTAATTGCCCAAAAAAAAAAAAAAAAAAAAAACAAAAAAATATTTACCCACAAAAAAAAAAAAAATTTATTTTAAAAAAAAATTTTAAATTTTGAAAANTTTTTTTTAATGATAATGATTGGACTGTATGTACTTTATGTTGTCTGAAAACAAATTCAAATATATTTCCCATAGTTTCCAATGTAAGGTTTGTTACTGCGATTTGAAAATAGGCAGAAGAATTGCTTTCAAAATGTAAGGGCACGTATGATTGCAAATGTGAAAATTTGATGGAAAGAAAATATTTTACATGAAATTGATTTGTTTAGAAATTGTTTTATTGGGAATTGTAATTAATTGTATTTGATTGGTATAATTTTTCACGTGAAAAATGTTGAAAGTTTGGTGTACGTTTGACTTCATTTTTATGAAAATTGTTCATTAAAGTGATAATTTTTTNTTGATTGATATAATTTTCCATAGAAAATGTTGAAAGTTTAGCGTTCGTTTGGCTTCATTTTTTATGAAAATTGTTTATTAAAGTGATAATGTTTTCTACCATTGGATCTAGAATTTGTTCTAATTGTCCAAAAAAAAATTTGAAAAAAAGATAACCATACTGAATATCATTCGTTTGACTTTGTTTTGTATGGAAATTGTCAATAAAAGTAATTTTTGTGTTTAGAATTTTTTCTAATTGCCAAAAAAAAAAAAAAAACCAAGAAATTATTTACCCACCAAAACATTAAAAATTTATTTTTCTCAAAAAT